CTTATGTCAGGGTTTGCTGGAAGAAAACTCTTTTTATGGTTAAGCTCGCCTTTGTACATTTTTTTTGTAACTTTGTTTCACTTATACTCTGTGTACAATAAAGAAGAACTTAAGTGTAACAGATGAGATACGAACATGACCAAAATATACGGAACATAAATATCAAAATAAACGTTTTGCACTCAGTTTTACGTATTTCATAATGTCTGTGGGCTTCGGCACTCATAAAAATGATAAGATTTCCTTTAGAAGCTAAATTTATTGTATTAAGCAGGCGAATTTCTGTAGGCTATTTGTATTCTTAAGACGTACGGAGCCTTGTCATTACCGTACGTTATGTTAATAACGAAAGTTCACATTATGCATCTTTACAACTGTAGGGATTCACTTATTTTCAATAAATAAATAACGCTTGTTTTCTCAAGACGAAGTACACAGTGATTCGGTTAGTTGGGAGCCCCGAGCGACGCGGCGCATGGAACGAGGGAATTGTTTAATATGCTACGTAACAAACATTTCTGACAATATTAGAAGAAATATCTAGGAAATGTTTTCTATGTTATATAATAAAAGTTGTTTATCTTTTTATTGTTTGGCCAAAAACAGGTACAGTGTCGTATTTTCAATTCAGCCCGTTTTGTAGGTAGGCTCAAAAAATACATACAGGGACGAATTGAAAATACGACACTAGTATATTGTTTTCAATTTGGTAATATTATTCAAACTTTCAAGCGCGCTAACAACAAAAACATTGAGAATAAAAATACGAAGAAATAAAAGGAACGTGAAAACAATTTCAGTGAAATACAACTCAGATAGAAAGGTTAGTCGGCCGTAATCTGATCTACCACTGACGAATGAGTGGACGTGACGATTTTCAATCGAGCGCCGAATTTCGCCTGACCCCTTATCCAATTTTCAAAATGAACAATATTTCTCCATTTGAAGTGAAGTTAGACTAGTGTGTAGCGTAGCCATTATTTTGACATCATACTGACTTATTTTCACAATGATACAAAACGAATAATAATTCCAAACATTTATTTCAACTTTCACGGAACTCACGAGTCCCAAAATCTCCATCACCACTTAAAATAATAAATATTGGCATTATAAGAAAACTTCAATATTTAAACAAAAAAAAAAATCATCGTTTTTAAAATTTGTAGAAAGTTATTCGCAGCTGTGGAACCCACGTCTTCCTTAATCACCCACATACCCTTTTACGTAATCTGTCGTTATTTCTTCACAGCGCAATAAAAAGAAGAAGGAATATATAGCAGACTTAAAATAATAATGATTTCTAGAAACGTGCTAGCCGTAGCTGTATTAATGATTAAAACGACTATCCTTACAGATATTGAGATCCCATTTCATTTAATTTGATTTTAAATTGTTCCTCTAGAATAAAAGAATATTCTTATTTCAGAACATTTTGTATAAACAGCCGATAGAAGCTTTGGCACTTATTCCAGAATATTGCATACAAAACTATGATCGAAATACTTAAACGACGTAATTCTAGAACATTTTACACGAAATAAGAGAAAAATTGGAATCGACAGTGGCAGTGAGGTGAAAATCAAAGTGGAAGAAAGAAGAATCTGAACAAAAGGAAAATCGAAAAGTGTTAGTGAAAGTGAGACCAAATGAAAAAAATATAAATGGTGGTCTTGTTTGGCTACAGCACGGCCTTTTGTGTGATTGAAGATAAAGTAAGAATTAGAATGCCGCCGACATTTCATTGTAATCTCGCAACCTATCGCTCGTAAATATATATAAGGTCACTGACTTCATTTCCGAATGGGTAGTAGTTTTTTTCGACAGTCAATAATTAAGTGAGATGCTTCTATATTGTACACAAACTTGAAAATCAAATTATAAATAATGCAGTTTTCGATAGTATAACACGATCCAACTGACTGCAACTCCAACAACTAGAGCAACTGTTGAGTTTCTTGCCGGTTTCTTCTCAACAGAAACTGCTTTCCGAACCGGTGGTAACTTACGAACGTGTTAATTTCTTGTAAAATTTTGACGTTTCATAAGAACGCGCAAGCGTCTATGTGAATAAAGATATTTTATTATTATTATTATGGGGGGATATTCATTTGTTTCCTCGTTTGGTTGGGTTTATAAATAAAAATATAGATACATATTGCATATATAAAATAAATATTATGGATAAAAATAAACATACTTATAAAAATATTTTATATAATACATATATAAATAGGACCCAACCAGACGGAAGCCCTCGGCAGGGGAGACCAAACGGCCGAGGGTTAGGGCGATAGGGAGAGAAACCGGCGGACGATGCGGGCGGTATCGAGGAGCACCGCTTTCTGCATTTGAGCTTGGAGCGATCCGTCCCGGAGTCCCAGTCGCCTCAGATTTTTGGAGAGGCTGACTGGGATTAACCCATTCGCAGACACGACTATCGGGATAATTTCGGCCGGCACACCACCCCACATGTCGGTCACCTCGTGAGCCAGGTCCAGATACTTTGTCTTCTTATCTGTTTCGGCTTTCACGAGGTTCTCGTCATATGGAATGGTAATGTCGACCAAAAATACCCGCGACTGTGCCCGCTCCATCACCACGATGTCAGGTTTGTTCGCGACAATCGTCCTGTCCGTGATGATGGGCCGGTCCCAATAGAGCCTGGCGCGGTCATTTTCGAGCACGGCCTCCGGAGAGTACTTATAGTACGGCAGTTTCCGATCCACGAGGCCGTATTTCAGAGCGAGCTCCTGGTGTAGGATTCTGGCTACTAGGTTGTGTCTATGCAGATACTCAGAGTTAGAAAGCATGGAACAACCGGAAATAACATGCCGAAGCGACTCCCCGGGATGGCGACAAGCTCGAACAGATGTCGACGGTGCCATCCTTTAGGATGTATTTCCGATAGTTGTTCGTCTTAATAACCTGATCCTGTATCGCACAGACAAAACCTTTGGTTTCCCCAAAGAGGTCACCGAAACGTAGCCAGTTGAGGGAGGCAGTAGTATCTACGAAAGGCTCGTGTAGGGCCTTGTAGAACCTCCCGTGGAGCTCTTTCTCCTTCCATACGGCCTCCCGGTCGGAAACGCTCAGTACTCCCGGGTCCTGCCATTGCTCGTTGGCTAAGGACAGAGGGGTAAGTCCTTTATCACAACTAATGACGTCCGTGTAGACTGACTCATCCGATCTCGCCAGAAAGTAGTTGCGGAGGCTGTACACCTCGCGATTGTGCATGGTAAGGGCGCTCAAAAAGCCCCTCCCGCCATGACTGTTTCATGCCAGCCTCATCGATACACATGTTTTGTGACATACCCAGGTATCGGTATGTTTCAGCCTCAGAGAGGGTCCTTATGTTAACGGGCATAGATAAGTCTATACCCTCCGTATTAGTGACCTTACCCCTTTCGACATGAAGGACCGCACACTTATCCGTCCCGAGCTCCATTTTGATTGAATTGCTGAAATCACAAGTGACTTTAAGCATCAAATGGGAGCGATTGGAGACGAATAATTTGAGGTCATCCATGTAGAAAAGGTGGGTCCCTTTGGACCCTCCTCTCCGAAGCTGAAATCCTCCCCCCGAGCCCCCCAGTAACACGCTTAGAGGATTCAGGGAGAGGCAAAACCATATTGGACTCAAACAGTCGCCCTGGAAAATACCCCGTCGTATCCTTATCCGGTATTCCGCAGCCGTCATCCGCTCGCCTAGATGACAAAGGATCGTACTCCATTGCCCCATACAGTGCTCGAGGAAGTCTCTTACTGTACAGTCTACTTTGTACAGTTCGAGGACCCTCTTTAGCCATGTATGGGGCACAGAGTCGAATGCCTTTTTGTAGTCTATCCAGGCGGCGGAGAAGTTCCGACGGTTGCGTTTAACCATTTTGCCAATGACCGCGTCGATGAGAAGCGGTTCCTTGGTTCCACGACCGCCGCCCCGACATCCATTCTGAGCAGGAGACATAATCCGATTCATATTAACATGTCGGGTGATTCTCATGCTCAGAACAGATGTCAGTGTCTTATAGATGGTGGGTAGACACGTGATGGGGCGGTACTTACTCGGGTCTGTGGTAACCTGATCTTTTGGAACCAAGTGAGTGACCCCAGTAGTAAAGAGGCTCGGGAGCGACCTCTGATCGAGAGCCTCTTGGAACTGTCGGGCGAGCACAGCATGACACACCACGAACCCCTTCAGCCAGTAGTGATGCAGCCCGTCGAGTCCCGGACTTTTCCAGTTCGGGGCTCTACGGACTGCCTCAGCTACGTCGTCGGGTGTTATGACGACGGGGTCCATGGGTGTGATATCTGCGCATTGGCTCGCCACGACTTGCGTCCAAGGGCCCTCGCTGTGGTCTACGGGCTCTGACCACAGGCTGCGCCAGAAGGCGACAGTTTCGGCCTGGTCTGGTCCTTGGCCCGTTCCACAGCTCATTGGTCGCTCCAAAGATTTGTAGAGCCTCTTTTGGTCACTCTGGAAGAGGCGATTCTGGCTAAACCGCGCCGTCCTTTCGGTATATCTCCGAATCCGCTTCCCCCAAGCAGCGATCCTCTGCTTCAGGTCATCTATGCGCTCTGTTAGTTTTTGCGTAATATCCGGCTGGGACAAGTTGATGTTGGTCCCAGCGAACGCCATCCTAACTGTGCGCACAATTCTGGGCCTATTATTGCCCGACCTGAAGCTTATCAGCCTGCCGATGATGGCCCTTACCTTTACGATTATTATTATTATTATTATTATCCCCGGCGCCGTAGCCAATACCTTGACAAGTGCGCCTTGGAGTCATCACGATGTTTCTCTTTACTTTTTCCTCACGATATTTTACTTTACCGCTGGATATTTTTGAGATAGAATTGTTGGTTTGCTTTTCCTTTCATAAAAATAATCGACCAAAACGAGGTGAACGCCCGAAATAGACAAATGATATAACTGACGATGATATATTACTCAATGATAAGGCGCTACGAGCGGAGTTGAACTGAATATAACACGCGAGATGTTAGACAGCAGCACATTCCAGGATCTGGCTTCACTGCCGCTGCACCAGAATTGCGACCATCCTGCCGTCATGAACCCAAAGAAGTGTGCTACGGTGTGCAATATCAATAAGAACCTGTTGAGTGTGGATTACGCGGTACGCGGACCCATCCTAGAGCGGGCGTTGCAGATTGAAAAGGAACTGGAAAATGTATGCTATTCACTTTACTTTACTCTAAGGCCGCTTTTTACAATATGAAAACGATATAATGTTACTACCGTATACCGTACAATGATCACATATTAATTCTACTGTACTTTGTAATCCTCCATATACAATCTGTACAAATAAAGTTACTCCACTGGTGTCATGGCAATTATTATGAATACTTTAACAAATTTCTTTCATTTGAAGATGGGAGAGAACAGAATTTGTAGCATTGCTTGAAGTTATCCAAAGTAATTTCCTCTTCTGTATATGATACTGTCACAACATTTTTCGCCCCTGCCAGTAATCGAATCTACCTTCTGGATTACACGGCCGCTTAGCTAAGCGGTCGAAATCATGAAAATTAGAAAAAAATAAATTTTGCGACGGTCTTACCACTGGCGCCGAGAGGCGGACTATGCTTCAATTCATACAGATTTTTCCCAAATCATAAAATCGTGATTTGATATCGAAATCATTTATTCATTGACATAAGAAACTTACATTTCATCTATCGATATTATTTTTTTAAATCTACTGTTTCGTAATGAGGTTCCTCTAGCGGAGAAGAAACAAGCGAAAGAAACTCCTTATGTATCATCTTTTTTTCATTTTTTTTGTATAAAAAGAATATTGTACAACTGATATTTTTATCCTTTTAGAAATAGCTTGGGAGCGATCAACTCATAAAACTATTTTTCCAAAAATTTGTAAAATCCAGCAGTGCACATTTGTCATAAAAGTAAATTATTTCTATGGTGTCATAGTAAACCAGAATCATAAACTCTACATAAACGTTCTTCGCACACATTTATCGAAGGTATAAATTACTCCTCTCGTTTAACGAGGGCGGGTCTTTAGTACAAAATAGCACCGAAGTATAAACATCAGAAATAAATTTTGTATAAATAACAACTCAATTAATTTTCGATATCGCTCCATCTCTGAAATAAATAATAGACTCATTTTTAGGCCTCTTGTGGCTCGGTAGCCTGTAGCCCTTAAAAAAACGTATCGCAATATTTGCTATTCGTCATTCAATCATCGTTATCGGAAGCGCTCACGCCCTCGTCACATGCACGTGGCTCTCGGCTAGTGGGACTTCGTTGCGTTATATGGCTTCCTCACAGTTCACTACATGTGTTCATTTCAAACATCACTACATAGTACAAAACAAAGTCGTCGTCCCGCTGTCTGTCTGTCCATATGTATACTTTGATCTCGGATCTTGATTCGGTGTTTTTACTAGATAGAATGATTCAAGAGAATGGTTTTTATGTATAATACATTGCACCCGTACGAAGCCGGGGCAGGTTGCTAGTATTTTACTAGAACGAACTTTTTTTTTTTTTTTTTTTGCTGTTTTTATAGATAATGGTACGGAACCCTTGGTATGGTATTCCTGTGAAGTAAATAAAAATTTCATAAGCCAGACTGATATTTTTTCTCTAAATGAATGATAAATATGTATATATATATCTTATATTAGTAACTTATTACCACCGCGATTAAATCCAGTATCATCGTAAATACATTCTTTTTATTCCCCGGGTGTGCCCAAACCCTTCGAGCGCGTAATTCGCGCGAACCTAGGCGACTGTCAGTCTTTGGGACAAAGGCCCATTACGTTCATCAGACAGGTAAGCAAGTCGAAAATAACAATTTTTTAACGTATAAATCGACGGAAACAAGTAATATTTGGACTAGCTAAAACATGTATGATATGTGTACTTAGAATAGTTCAATTTAGGATATATTGTAAGGTCATTAATACAGCATAGGCCAAAAAGTTGGTCTAATATTTTTGACACATAATCAACGTTGATAGGTGGTTGCACTTGCAGCATATCCAGAACTCATGTCCTCATCCGATATTCCAGCCGACGTGAAGGGGCGTGTTCGTGAAATACTCGGGGATTGCTCGTAAGTTTCTAAAACCATTTTAACTGTTGCTTACGAGATTTAATTATAATTCACATATTTCTTTTCCTTTTAACATCCTGCTTTGGGGTCACCTACCACATAAAAAAAAAACCAAAGGTTATATACCTTAATAATAAAAGATGGCTCTATATAAATATTTTGCTGGAGTACTTGCTGTTTGTTGACTCTTTATAGATAAAATGTTTTCTTTCCATGGAAGGTCGGCCACGCGGATTATTAACTGTTTGCGATTACTAAACACAGCATAACATGATGTATTATCTAGATGTTATGCTCAAATAGATATATCGGTAAAACCACATAACGATTTCTTGTATTTATGCAAATACTGTATTTATTGTTCAAAGTAATATATTTTACTTTGGGTTTTTTCCGTTTGTAAATTAACGGCACAGATTCGTCGGTCTGTAACTGTCTGCAGCCCTGGTTAACAGTGATTTTGGGACTTCTTTGTCTCAGTCCATCGAGTGATCATGAACACTGCAAATGCGAATTTTTTTATATCGTATGGCTATTATTACTACCTAATTTATATAATGGGCCGTGATAGCTAATAATAATTCAATATATACTCGAGCAGCCTGCGTTCGATCCCCGGTGCCGGCACAGTTTTTAACTTTAAGTGCTGACTTATCACTGCTCCGCGGTGAAGGAAAATATCGTGATGAAACCTGCATATTTTCGAAATAATAACAAAAAAAATATTTCGAAGATATGTGAAGTCCGCCAATCCGCACTAGGGCCACGTGGTGAACTATGCCCTGATAACCTCTGTATAGAGGAGGCCTTTGCCCAGCTGTGGGACATGTATAAGCTGTTACTTTAATTAATATAAAAAAGTATCCTAATCAAAGATTTTTCTGACGACACATGAAGCTTACTGGGTTAGTTATACTTTATATTTACGGCCACCAGCCAAAGCTCCGTGGGGTCATATTCTCCTTCCGGCGGACTACGAATGGTCCGAGAAGCGGTCGCGGCGTATTTGACGGAACGCGATCAAGCGCCTGCGAGAGCCCAGGATATTTACCTTGGCAACGGCGCTGCAGACCTCATCAGGGCAGTCCTTGCCATGTTTATCGGCGACATCGACGGGAAACCACCTGGTAGGCATTCGTAGTTATAGTAAATGGATTTGCGCAAACTGTTGCTCCGACATGTATGATTGTATTTGTTTTGTGGCTTTTCGATTTAGCGGTGATGTTACCGATCCCCCAATACCCACTTTTCTCCGGCTTCTTGTCGGAGCTGGGTCTGCTCCAAGCCAGCTATTACCTGGACGAGGAACGGAACTGGGCACTGGACACTTGCGAGCTGCAGCGTTGCTGGAAGCAAGCGAGCATATGCAGCCACGTACGTGTGTTAGTCATCATCAATCCCGGCAATCCCTCTGGACAGGTATGTATTAACACTAAAAGCTTATCCGTTCATTATCTGAAAGAGGGTAACTGAGACCACCCCTTGATGTTGTGGATGATTAAGGGGCAACATTGGCCCTTCACATTAAGGTCATATGCTGGTTCTCTTATAGTCTCTCACTCATATAAATTAAAAAAAAAAGTATGAGGTAAACAAATATATCTCTCAAATATACGGTAAATAAAATTTGGTCGTTTTTGAATAACAATCCCTTAAACTATACGGTGAAATTTATGAAAACAGAGGGATCGTATCTTAGTACCATTTAAAAACGAAAGTAAACTTTAGGGTTTGCTATATTTAAATAGTTTAAGGATATGCAATACTCATTCAATGCATTTTCAGTTTTTAATGAACTTTTGTTCTCAATCTGTTACATATTTTGAAATATATCATTTTCAAATTTTCCATAACATTTTCAGAACTTTTAAATAATTGCAGCTGCAAACGATGTCGGTTTCGTTGCAGGTGCTGTCTGTAAAGGACTTGGAGGAGATTGTAAAATTCGCATACGACCACGATCTGTTCCTACTCGCCGACGAAGTTTACCAGGACAACATTATAGGCAAAAAATTCCATTCTTTAAAAAAGGCAATGAATAATATAATACGAGTAATAACAATATTTGGTAAACTCAGTATAACAAATTAAAATTTTATACGTTATTATATATTTATTTAAATTGATAAATTTTTAAATAATTGATTTCTCTGTGATATTTCGATTTTAAATTGCACATTTTTTCACTATAATAATAAATAAATGTTAAAAACGCAGTTATAATATGATGAGTAATTGCAATGACAATGTACTGAGGTTTTCATTATTACACATAAATTTATTTCGCAGGGATCTCTGGGAAAATATCAAAATCTGAATCATGTGTAAACCAAAAGTCTGCATTTATACTTAGGTTATGTACGCGATGGGTGAACCATACAGGAGTATGGAGCTGGCAAGCTTTGCGACGTGTTCGAAGGGCTGGGCGGCGGAGTCGGGGCTGCGGGCCGGATTCCTGGAGATGGTGGGCGTCCAGGGCGGAGTGGCGGCCGTTTTTGAACGAACGCGTTCCTTGCTTCAGTGCCCAGGCGTGCTTGGCCAGTGCGCTCTCCATTGCCTCGTGAGTTATTTACGATACATAAATGCACAGTTCGAATAACATTTTATGAAACATTTGAAGACTAGAGACGACAGCAAATCTCTTCTTTGAACGGGTCATGCTTCAAAGTGAGCCGTGATAGCTCAGTGTCCGGGCGCTCGCCTTTAATTCAATATACTCGAGCAACCTGAGTTCGATCCCCGGTAAATTATCACGTGCTCAGCGGTGAAGGAAAACATCGTGAGGAAACCTGCATATTTTCGAAATAATAACAAAAAAAATATTTTGAAGAGATGTGAAGTCCGCCAATCCGCAGTGGGGCCGCGTGGTGGACTATGCCCTGATACCCTCTGTATAGAGGAGGCCTTTGCCCAGCAGTGGGACATGTATAGGCTGTTACTTTACTTTACTTTTTTATATTTCGACCGGTCAATTGTCTGACGTCAACCCTCCTTGGAAATATACACCCCGACTCGGAACGACGATTTGTGTTGGAATCGAACCCACAACCCCTAGCTTCGGCACCAGCTTAGTGTCTATACCTATTGAGGGAAATTTGTGCGCTAGGTGCAGCCACCGCTGCCGGGGGAGCCTTCGTACGAGCGCTACAAGTCCGAACGAGGGCCGACAGAGATTGCATTGGCCGAACGATCGGCCACTGCCTTCAACGTATTCAACAGTATTCCCGGCTACTCCTGTAACTCCATTCATGTCAGTGTTTGTTCTTTTATAGCGGCTGTCTACATGACACAGTACACGGAGCGACAAAATCTTCAATAGAAAAACACGTATTGTGTCCACACAATAGTCTTCGCTGTTACATGAATGGGCAGATCCGTCAGGGGAAGTATCGCGACCCAAACTACTTATTATTCTTCTACCTTAGAATGCTCAATGGTTCAAAAAGTAGTTTACGTAATGGCATAAACTTCGTACAAATTGCATATAGTAAACCGTGTATGTATCTATGTATAATTTATAATTTCTTATGTTTGTGTATAATTTCTTTCTCTTTCTGGACAAATGTGCTGACACGATCATACGACATACAACAATTATCTCGATTTCAGGGGGCAGTTTTTGCCTTTCCACGCGTGGAGATACCGAAGAGGGCACAAAAGGAGGCCCTTGAGAATGGCCGCAACCCAGATGAGTTCTACTGTCTGCAGCTACTCGAGGAGACCGGTAAGACCAGCAATCTTGTCTTAGTCGTCTTCTCCATAGGCCAAGTAATACTACAACGGTATGTTTTCTTTTATCACAAAAGTAATGTATGTATATGACAACGACACCACGACAGTGGTAAAGCAACTACGAACAGGTTGTTAATACTGTACTCAATGAACAACAGTATTGACTTGATGTAAATGATCTGCCTGTGGATTTATTTCTACATGTTGCTGTGTTTTATCGTCTAAAAGTAAAACAACGCTCGCTCAGCCCTTAATCCTACCTTTAATCGACTAACGCGACATATTCTACTTGTTTTTAAATGCAGATCAGCTTAATAAACTTTACACACTCTTTCTATAGTTCTCAACTTCAGTGGTTACTTATAGGTCTACACCGCTTCTTAGGAGCACCAACCACTTTATTCGTTCTTTAACGTTAAACGTTCAACGCTCCTGGTGACGGGGAATAGAAAGAGACAGAGCGAGAGTGAATGCGTGACACTCGAAAGCATGCTATTGTGAAAGATTTAAATATATTTTATATTTATTTTACATTTTTTTATTATTCTCCACTTGATAATTAAAAGATGCGATCAAATGTTGATAATTTTTTTTAAAGAAACTATGATCTCACTAAAATTCAATTTCTACCCCTTCTTATTTTCTTTTCCACATTACGAAGTATTACTTCTTCTGCGCGGAGGGACTCCACGCACAATTTTATGAATAAGATTCCTCTTCTATTCTGTCTTACTTATCACCTCACATTCAATATCTTTGTAAAATCCCCTATGAAAATCTTAGCTCGGCACATATTCATCTGGTTTTATGATCATCAGTTAACTTTATTGTCCAGTCTATACCTTCGTGGAATGAGCTGCCTTTCAAAACTTCACTTTGCATTTAAAAGAATCGCGAGCAATTGCTTCAAAATTTACCACTAATTCACTGGATCGTTGAACATAGGTAAAAGTATGTATATTTATTTGAATTTAAATATATTATGTGTGTATTTATTGCGTATATAAACATATATACCTACTATATTTTGTGTTAAGTAGTTGCTTTTAATTTTGTAATCTATGCATCGAAACTTCTCTCGGCCAAGGTAGATAATCGTGATAGTATTAAACCCACCTTTGTGTACATAGTTTTGTACATGTGGAAAATAATAAGATTATTATTGTCCTAATGGAAAACAAATACTTAAATCTGGGATATCCGAATACACTAAAATTTATAGTACGGAGTACTTTTAGTACAGTAAGTAATAAGTAGTAATTTTAGAGTATTGTATTAAATATCCGAAGATATCTTAGCGTTAAATAAGAAGGCAATAACTATGTTTTCTTGCGCGTCAGGTGTGTGCGTGGTGCCTGGTTCCGGTTTTGGTCAGCGTGAGGGAACCTTCCACTTCCGAACCACCATCCTACATCCACCACGAGAGTTCAACTACATGATGGAATCTATCAGACGCTTCCATTTGCATTTTCTCCAACGCTACTCAAATTGAGCGTGAAAAATCAAAATTGTAATGAAATAACTTCTTTTTACGCAAATATTGCATTATAATGAACCTATTTTACATATTTTATCACAGTTCATTTTTATTTTGGAACTTCCGACGTTTCGACACAGCATTCGTGATCGTATGATGGATTGTGACGTCAGGCATCGTGGTGTCATTGTTAAATCTGGCTCCGTCAGCTTGAAAATTATAAAATTTTACAAACCACGATAAAAATTCGTAAAATAGTTTCATTGAGATATCATCGGTAGTTTAGCGGTAAGGATATAATGGACAACGCAAGACAAGACTGTTAATAATAATTTATAAATATTAATAGGTAAAAAACAAACAATTATATTTCAATGACAATGAAGAGGCCTTTGATCTGATGACTCCATGGCGCAGTTGCCAAGGTATTGGGTTCGGCGTCAGGGGTCGTGGGTTCGATTCTCACACGGGACAACTATTTGTGTGACCCACAGATAAATGTTTCGCATCGGGGTGTTTGTCTGCGTGAAATTTATGTTTGTAAAACGTCATTAAAACAAAGGATAATATTATCCTAAAATAATGGCAATGTTTTTAAAAAAAAAGAAATAAAAAATAATTTATGTGTATGTATAAATTTAAGGAATTTTAATATCAAATTATCACGTATTGTGTAAAATTTCCTTAAATTAAATCAATATAGATTGCAACCAAATTGACTTTTCGTTTGTCACTAAACTGTTACTTAACTTGTAACAACCCTGAAAAACCATTATCGCGTTCTCTTGCCGATCAATAAGCAGTGACATGACATTCGCTGAGGGCACATATCTTAAATCTGTCTTATGTAATTACTGTAATAAGCACAGCAATACTTCCTAAATCAAGCCGGTTCAATTATGCAACGGTTAAATCTGCTGCAAATCTTTGTACTCAATGCAAGGAAAATTGTTACAATATTTAATCCATTAGGAAAGGGTGTGATTCTCATTGATTAAATTTTAAAAAGAGGACATCGTCTCGTGATGGCGTCTGTTTGATTTTAGGAAAGTCGTACTCACAATAATTATTACATCAGCGCATATGTAGTAATAAATAAAAGTATTGTTTTTTCTTAGTTGAGTACTAAGTGGAGTATCACGAATGTCTGCTATTTTTCGGTATCTTCATACCTATTTACGAATCAATTGAGGCTGTTAATCTTTCCTTTTTAAAGAGAAACTTTTTTCCATCGCCTCAAACGTTTTCGTCCATCTATCGCATGTCGTATTACAGCCAGCCGAGGAGTAGAGATAAAGTGAAAGGACGCTCGGTAGAGAAGCCAACACTAATATGGCGGCGCCCATAGCTCGCATCAGCTAACCGTGTAGCAATTGTATCAAATTTAAAATATAAATTGTTTTATAAGTAATAATTAACATTTAACTGAACATACGATCAAAAAAAAAAGTTTCGCTTGCATCGTGATTTCATAAAACCACTCGTTTTTATTCATTCCTATGTAATCACTGTTATTTTACCTTTGTCGTTAAAAATTGTTAAATTTCCTCTTTGTACAATAATGTGATAAGAAATATCACTCACCAGACGAAACGCAAAAGTAGTATAACACTTTACTTCACGCCGATTTTCTATGAGGTTGTGGTACTTTCCCGAACGAACCTGCCCATCCGTGCAACAGCCGAAGCTGTTACTAGACCCTACCACTTACAAATGAAATGTATTTTTGATTAGTGACTTGGTGTTCTCGTCGAGCTATATTATATTGATGTCTGCGTTTGTTTTTGTTTTTGGAAACAGAACTGAATAATGTACCAGATTTGAGTTATAATCAGTGGGTATTGTGTTATTGGCCTTAAATTAATGTACCCGCTTTGTGTTAATTTTAGTCTAGTTTGTCATTTATAATTAATATTTTTGGTATGTACTGAAAATCGGGAAATCGTACCGAGTACATACCTGTTTGGTTTCATGTCTTAGATATATATTCTTTTAATTGTTAACATAACTGTGTTTTTTTCGAAACTAAATAAGTATTCATTCATTCATTTATTCATTCATTCATTTATTCATTCATTCATTCATCCCTTCATTCATTCAAATCGTTCCATACCGTTATTGAATCGATTCGCCAGTGCTAATTTTATGTTGATCTGCTAAAATATCGGCATAAACTTGATAGCTGGCATTCATTATCTCTATCTATGATAAATCCTCCAAGACTACTGGAGGTACGATCCATACTTTCAAACATGTTTATTTACAATAACGAAGATGAAACAAAATTTCTTCTTCTGAAACCCACATTGTGTTTAGGAGACTCAGTTCCAAAATTGATGTTTCGAATTACAAACCCTGAACGATAATATGATAAAATGTAATTTTGAATGTGGATGTATATGAGTCTTAGTAACTTGAAATAAATAATAATTAACGTATCAATACAGTAGTTTATGATGCATTTATTTATAAAACAATAGTTTGAACATTGGGGTAGATTTTTTTTTGGGCTGGATGAGCCACTGTTGGCCTTAGGGGCCTTTACAGATCCGACGGGCTTGAGGTGGCCTGGCGCACGAGGCGCCTAGCCTGAACCTCGGCGTACTAATATTACACGTTATGGTGACGAACGCGTTATGGTGACTGGGGTGGATTATTAGGTGTTTACAATGACTGTAATTTAATTAACGCGTTTTCAGAATGATTTCAATAACTTTATACCAGATAACTCGACTCCTATCATGAATCCTTTTTACATAAAAATATCTTTTCCTATTCCGTAGGTGTTAAAAGATGTGAAAGTTATTTCCATTAAACTTTAACTGGATTACAGACAAACGCGATAAGCTTTTTGAGTACTTTAAGAATTATTATCAGTGTAGGTTTCAGCCCCAGAGATTAACAATCCAAGAATAACTTTACCATAGCTTCAATGAAAAACATCGTTGTTTATGTGCAAGAGCTTGCAGGTGGTAACCGCTGTAGTGGGTTCAGGTGTAAATTGCTTTTCGAGAGGCCTTTGTTCCTGGTGGTGCCTCATTGCGCTGTGTGCGAATTTTAAATTAATTTTTATTCTACAAGCGTTCACAAGGAAAAAAACATTTACCTAATGTGGTAGAACTGCAAAAGCAATAAAGACATTTTTTTTATTAGATTCGCTACAAGAGAATTTATTATTATAATCATATTTTTAATGTATTTGAAAAGTAAGAGCATATGATGCTTTAAACAGTTTCAATTATTTACCGCGATATATATCTAGGGGCTACATTAATTTAAATGATTTTTTAAGAATAATTTTTATTTTTAGTGCTGATCTCTGCACTCTAAATTAATGTTAAAAAATTAAGAGCATTGGCAACATCTCTCGTTACAAACATTCATCGTCGAATGTTATTTGTGCGGTGTTGTATAATATATAGGACGCACACTAGATCACGCCAATCATTGCTAAAAATGCAATAGAACGAACGTAGATAGATGTCAAGATTATTGCACCGTTACTTGCGGTCGCGGCCGCTTAGCATAATTGGGCGCGAAACCAGAAGACGCAGGATTGAATCCCGCAGCTCGGCGCTGCGTTCATTTACCTAGATTTCTATTCTATCTAATTATAAAAAATTCAATTAAATGATTTAATCCAATTTTTACAGATAATTTTGAAATAGATTACGCAAAATGCTATGTAGTGAAACGACTAACCACGTCATTGTGGCGCTACGAGGAACTACTCGATCACAGCCCTTGGCAACGGAATTGTAAACAATACAATAAATCTCTATTTACGACGAAATGTACGGAAATCTCTCTTTATGGAGAACACGATGTATTGCAACATCGAAAGTTGTTTTTAAGTAGGATAACATCACGAAACCAAAGTTTCATAGCTATTGAAATATTTTTCATTTAAATACTTAGAATGAATCTCGAATAATGATGATTTCTGAGGACCAGGTTTCAGCAAATTACTTATTAGTTCATTTACGCTAGAAATAACCGAATATGCTAATGACATTACGTAAAACCACTTCTCCCGCAATCATATTAACACAATATATCTTACTTAAGGTAAGTCCTCGGTGGAGATTTACATCCAACATCAAAAACCCATGTTTAAGTGTTAAGTTTCTTTTTGTTTGATAAATAAAATAAAGGTTTTAAGAAAACATTTCAACAAAACAAAATTAACTAATGAACTTAATACTCCATCATTTTTAGGACCCCTACGTATTCATCACTAATATTGTCTAACATACGGATTTATGTACGATCGGAAATATTAAAATTAATTGTCAGCTCAGCTCGGAGGCTTTCGTGAACGGCGCCATTAATCCGAATCAGGGGTGACTTTCACCAGATGTTAAAACTGTTCGAAAGATGAAGAAACTCTATTATAGGTTATTTTCTTAAATGGTTTTCTAGCTTGTGTAAAATTGACACCTGAATCGTGACTCTTGACTGAATAACGTGCCCAAACGACATTAATGCCCTCTTAACGTTTGCGACAGCTTGTACATCTTGTGAATTATAGTAATTACTTAATTAGCTACGTTACGAGGTGCATTTATAGTATAATAGGGTGCGTGAAATCACCACTTGGCGAGGCATGTAGTGGTCATGCCACCTGAAAATTTTAAGGCGTAATTTCTATAAAAGCATAATTTATATTTTTAACTTATTTATTGAAACATTACATATTCCACAACATAGCGCCTGTTCTTCATTAGCAGCAGTTATTTTACTATTGTCCACTTTAGAAATATTTTAAAACCAATCGCAAAGTCTACGTATCAGACGTCCTTATTTGAGGCGGAAGAATTATTCCAAGCAGTAAAAACATGTCTTGATTCACCATACTAGATACACCCCTTTTTTTCTGGGACAGTCAGGTCCATTATGAAAAGGTTGCATGCAGTCATTGTCTACAATAGGATTTTTTTCGGATTCAGTCGACAATTTGGTATGGAAAACCGATTCAACCGATGTTGTTCTAGTCTTGTAAATCTCACTGAGCTATTTATTAAGTCCGTTGTCCCCTTGATATTGCAGTTTTCAAGCGCAATCGTCACAGGATGTGGTTAATACCAGCAAACGTTGGAGTTGGCAATGTTTTCCAGGTTGAACGCTTTCCCGTGCGATCGAATTATTTGCATGTCGCCGTCGTAATTTAGTGTGCTAGGGCTAAATTTTACATGCAAAATTTTACTATTGACGACGTTTTTTTTTTTTTTTTTGGGAAATAGTAATTTTAACTTTACCATCGCTGCATAAACACCGGGCTGCTAAAATAACAGTCGTGCAATCGGGTCATCTATAAATAATATAATAATAAAAAAAATGAAGCTTAAGAGCTTTTGAGAGGACACTATTTATTCCGTAATATTTAACGCTCCCATCTGGCAAACTTCCCAAATTCGCTCAGTTAAATGAACCCGGGTGGCGGTACATTTACCTGTAATTCCAAAGATGACAACTTGTTAATTATAAAACGCCGCCCTAAAGATATTCAAGTCACCGTGTTAAATGTGAAAACAAACAAACAAAACAGTATATTGAAGTCGTGTTATCGGTATGGAAACCATTTTGATTTTATACATTAAATGATACAAAACTGATGGTAATTCCAATTTATTCATAATTAGAGTTGTCTATTGTTTGGTCCAACCTAAGAAGAACGATCTACGAAACGCACGTAGTACGCACCGATTACTAAAAACGCTATTAAAAATTATCTTCAATTAAATGTTTACTTTTAATTGACAGCACCTTTGTACAGTTGCATCTTGACTGGTCATTACTCGTTACAACGGTGTTATCCGCTGACGATGGCCTACCGCGACAAATTGTTGTAAAATAAGCAGTGTGACAGATAAACCTATTTGACTTATCACCAGCTACAGTTGGCACCTGGGGAATAAACAATGTAATGAATGAACAATCTAATAAAATTGTCAATATCTTCATTGTGACTATAATTTCTAAAGTGTTATGTATGACCGCATGCTCTATATTTCACAAGATTCTATGTTAATTACAAAATTTTGAAATGCGAAGCTGTAAATAGATTTAATCTTACACTACCCTTGTATAAATATGATATTATAAAAGATGACATTGTACCAAAAAAGCTAATAACATACATCAAAAGTAAGTTAAAATAAACATTAATTCTACTTACAAAGTAATTAGTTCTCAATTAATAAATTCCAGAATCCGTTGGAGCTACTTTTTTTAAAAAAAATTAAAATATGTAAAAAATACGTAATCATGAGAAAATAAACATAAGCTAACTCATTAGAACTATGTTGGCTCATTATTGGCTAAAAAACCCAAATAAAAGTTGTGCTTAGCACGAGATAGTATTCAATTACGCACTGAAGAAAATTTGAAAAGCTTTTGTTGGCCGCTTTCGGATCCACTTCATCAGTGGTCGATATTGAGTAAAATTCGCAAATTGATTCCATAATAATTACAAGAAATGACTAGATTATAACGCACCGTAAAAGGAACGGTAAAATTTGAAGTTCAGAGCATAAGAAACAGGAATATAGATTAGCTGCAAAATAACGTTAAGCCACCGTAAAAGAAAAATATATGCTTTTTTTCCTGTTATTGAGAAGTGATAGGTGTTCTGTGTTATAATTTGGAGTCTGTTTCAATCAGAGTTCAGTGTCAGTCAGATTTTCAGCCTCAAATTTTTTTGTGTGAGAAAGTGGAAAACGAGCTGGCAGTTCACCTGATGTTAAGTGATATCCGCCGCCAATGGACATTTGCCACACCCGTAGGGTTGCAGTTTCCTTGTCACCTTTTAATAAAGTGGGCCCCGGCTACCTCACTCACCAAACGAAACGCAGAAATGTAACACTTCTACTTTACGCCCGTTATGCGTAATAATAATACGGTGAGGTTCAGGCTAGGCGACCCGAGCGCCAAGCCACCTCAAGTCCATCGGAACTGGAAAGGCCCCTAAGGCCAACAGTGGCTCATCCAGCCTAAAAAAATCATGCTGGTCTTCTGTGAGTCTTTGTTACTTACCCAAACGGGCCTGCCCATTCGTGAAGCAGTGAACACTGTTGCGACAAAAATCTTTTAAATATACGATTTGTCTCAAGTATTTATGTTAATAAAAATGTTTTATTTTTTGTACAAAGAAACTTTTGCAGAAAGCCTAATTTCGAGGAATGGTTGAATGGTTATTTCGCAGATTTATTTACGCGGTAAAGATATGACTTAAACAAAATAAAATGTTTAAAATCCACTTTAGAGCACACGAATAAAAAAGAATAAGCAATAAACGAGAGAGCGGAATATAATTCAGATGGAATAATTATTCATTACAATCGCGACGGATGTAAGGCCGTGCTAATTGAATTATGTTAATGCACAACGGAGCGTCACGGACCCAGAGCCGGCTGCCTTAATTCCAATCAGCGCTGGTCCAGTTCCCTCACATTTGCTTTCAACTCAATCATTTAGTGTTTCACTAGCGTCATTCAGTGATAATATGTAACGCTACGTTAAATCTGGCATATAATACGACTCGGCAACGCATTCTGTAAAACCGGTTACGCGTCTGGTTTCCTGAAGAGCCATCCCAACTACTGCGTATTTGACATAAAGAATTGACACGATATCATCACATCGATTTATTCAGTAACTAGCGACCCGCCTGGGTTTCGCGCGGGTGCAATGTATTATATTATACATATAAACTTTCCACTTGAATCACTCTATCTAGTAAGGAAAACCGCATCAAGATCCGTTGCGTAGTTTTAAAGATCTAAGCATACATAGGGACAGACAGACAGCTGGACGACTTTGTTTTATAGTATGTAGTGACGTAGTATGCAAAACGTAAACATTAATTTTCTAGGTGTTCCCACTGAACAACTATAAAAAATCGTAGTTATAAGCTCGTTATTTAATGCATCTTTCCCAAGCTGGAGATGACTTTCAATACGGTATCAATTTAATTCAGAACTCCTCGCCATATATCTAATACATATATCTAATACATATCTTCTAATAGATAAAATTCTCGTGTCACGGGGTTCGAACTTGAACTCCTCCGAAACGGCTCGACCGATTTTTACCAAATTTTATATGCGTATTCAGTAGGTCTGAGAATCGGCTACTATCTATTTTTCGTCCCCCTAAATGTTAAGGGGGTAGTCCACCCCTAAATTTTTTTTTTTAATTTTTTATATAAAACTTTCTGCTTTTATTTTTTTATGACACAGCATACAAATATACATACAACCCTAAATTTTCACCCCTCTACGCAGACGTAGTCGCGGGCAGCAGCTAGTATATATAGAATCGGAATCTCGGAAACGGCTCCAGCGATCTTCATGAAATTTAGTATGTGCGTAGATTCGGGGGCGAAAAATCGATTTAGATAGGTTTCATTTTTAGAAAATGTACTTTTAACCCCTTTTTCAGGGAATGAAAAATATGATTCGAATATGACGTTAAAAAAATGTTATAATAGCTCGGGCGGTGATCGGGCGGCCCCGAAACAGAAGGCTGCGGTTCGTGTCACGATCATTTACACGCTGTTTTATTTTCCTTTTTTTTCTATACTAGATCATTGCTTTCTTTATTTTTTAATTCCCAAAATACACGATTTAACAAAAAAAAAACCTCCAGGTACTAATATTTATGAGTAAATTTTATTTATACGCATCAGGCAACATCACAAGAACATAAAATACTAATAATAATTTATTTTCAGAAGGTTGAAAGAGAATCTTAAATAAAAGATGAATCTCGTATTTACGGGATTTGTGTAATTTAAGAGCCTCATTAAATCCGACGGGTAGACGGATAGGAGCAGGGAATCTTTATGTAGGCCTGTGAAATTTTATTCCAAATAATAAAAAAATCATTTCTTTATTTACTATCTTGTCTTAAGATGAAACGAAAAATTACATTATCAATAAGCCATTTATTCTTTTAAAATGTCTTGTTAACGAAAACGGAATGTTAACATATTCATTTTTGATTCAAAAATATTTAAGGAACACTGCAGATACTTTGCAAGAGTGACAAAAATTAGTTGCAGGCGTTGTAACTATTGTCATGGTTAAAATATATGTTATTAATCATCTTTTCAATTGAAAGTCTTTTAAGGAATCTCAATTCTGTATGTCGGGCCTGTAGAGATTTGCCAAAAGAGCAAGGGTCCTGGTCTGAAACTATTAAAAGTGCACATTTTTTACGGAAACGAGTGGGGTCATTGTACACTCTGAACTAGTATTTTCTGAACATTACCTACACACATCAATAAGTAAATAAATAAATATTTTAGGACACATTTTTTTTACACAAAGTTCTCTAGTCCCAAACTAAGTAACGCTTGTACTATGGGTACTAGAAAACTGATAGACATACTTAAACATACTTTTCTTTTGTAAATAAATACACATTATACATATATAAACACCCAGACACTAGAAAGACACTATGCTCATCACACGATATTTTTCCAGTAGTGGGTATCGAATCCACGCCCTCTGACGCAGAAGGCAGGTACACTACCGACTACGCTATTCGGGTCGTCAGAATATACACACACTGAATCACATTTTAGATGAGGATGAGAGATGAAGTATTTTAATCTTTAAACTATAAAAAACCGTCACACAGTACTACAGCGATTTCCAAACAACAATATACCCGCTCGAAGTCAATTCATGACGGTTAGTGTTCTTGTATCTTGTATTAACTGATGTTTTTTAAATAATAAATAAATAAATAAAAATATCTTTATTCACATAGACGCTTGCGCGTTCTTATGAAACGTCAAAATTTTACAAGAAATGAACACGTTCGTAAGTTACCACCGGTTCGGAAAGCAGTTTCTGTTGAGAAGAAACCGGCAAGAAACTCAACAGTTGCTCTTTTTAAAAAAAAAATCAGTTTACAATATAATAGTACATGTACAATAGTCTTGTTTTAGCCTACGTGAGTATCAACAGTATTAACCCCACACATTGGCGTCGTCATGATATTCAGCAATAGAATAATAGGCTTTAGCCATAAGTTTACTTTTAATTTTTCGTTTAAATTCATCAAGTGGCAGACTTAATATCGACTGTGGGATTTTATTATACATGCGCACACCTTGCCCCATGAACGACCTGTTTACTTTTTGTAAACGAAACAATGGCGTAGTTAGTTTGTCCTTATTTCTAGTATTTAGTTTATGTCTGTCACTATTCTTTAGATAACTATTAATATTATTTTTAACATACAAAATGTTACAATAAATATATTGAGACGCAACAGTGAGTATATTAATCTCTTTAAAAAGGTCTCTGAGTGTATTCCGGGCTCCGATGTTATAGATTGCTCGGACAGCTCTTTTTTGAAGAATAAATATAGAATTTATATCAGATGCACTACCCCACAACAAAATGCCGTAAGACAAGATGCTGTGGAAATAACTGAAATAAACAAGTCTGGCAGTGTCGATGTCTGATAGCTGCCTAACCTTCCTAACTGCAAAAAAACAGCGGAGCTTAACCTGTTCGCAAGAGATGATAGATGGGGACTCCATTGGAGCTTTGAATCCACTGTAATTCCCAAGAATACAGCGGACTCAACAGGATTAAGGGTTACGCTATTTAATGTTAAGCTAAAACTTCGCCTTCTTACGCTGGGAAGGGTAAAAAGAAGGCATTTAGTTTTTTTAGCATTTAACACCATATTATTAACGGTAAACCAGTGGAGGATACGCGAAAGTGCACTATTCACGTCGTCATAATCCGACACGTTTCGGTCAACCTTAAAAATGAGCGATGTGTCGTCAGCAAACAGTACAATATCACATAACTCACTGGCATAAAAGGGGAGATCATTTATATACACTAAGAATAATAATGGACCCAAGATTGATCCTTGTGGGACACCCATTTTCATGGGGGACCCTGTGGAATTTACATCATTTATAGATACTTTTTGAATTCTATTATTAAGGTAAGAGGCAATGAGATTGAGGGCGATGTCACGAATGCCATAATAATCTAACTTTTGAAGGAGGGTTTCGTGGTCTACACAGTCGAAAGCCTTTGAAAGGTCGCAAAAGACACCTATTGCATCTTGTGACCTTTCCCAGGCGTTATAAATATGCTTGACAAGTGCGACACCCGCATCCGTTGTCGATCTGCCTTTAGTGAATCCATATTGCTCATTGTGGAAAATTTTGTTCATATTAAAATGTACTAAGAGTTGATTTAAAATTAGTTTTTCAAAAATTTTACTCAGAGATGGCAATATGGAGATAGGTCTGTAATTTCCTGGATCATTTTTATCCCCACTTTTGAAAACGGGGATTATCTTACTGAATTTCATAAGATCTGGAAATATTCCAGAATCTATACATTTGTTAAAAATATTTGCCAAATATGGTGCAATATACGGCATTATTGTACTCATTAATTTTATGGACATGCCCCACAAATCTCCTGTATTTTTAAGATTAATAGAATTTAAAACTTTTATAATATCATTAGTATCTATGTGATTAAATTTAAACGTTTGTCGACAATAGGTAACATTATTTTTTAATACATTAATTGCATCAATGGGAGAGGATTTTAACGTGCATGTAACATTAATTGCAATTTCTGAAAAATAACTTTCAAAACTACTTGCAATTTCGTTATCTGAAGTTATGGGTGTATTGCCTATCACTAGCTTTATAGGTTCCCTGAATTTCTTGGGTCTTCCAGATATACAGGTAATGATGTCCCATGTAGCTTTTATTTTATTACTAGAATTTAAAATCCTATTTCTTATGTAGATAGATTTTGCATGTATACAGACTTTTTTAAATATTTTTGAAAAATTTTGTACCCGTTTATGGAAATTAGGGTCGTGATTCCACTGCCTCATATTATATAATTCATACAGTGAATCCCTACTTTTATATATACCCACTGTTGCCCAGTCACTAAATTTTAATTTTGATTTTTTAACAATTGTGCGGGGTTTAAAAATATGATTATAGGAAGTTTTGCTTTCAGTCCCGAGACTATTAAAGCTTCATCTGACGCAGAACCGGTGGGCTAGCCAGAACCAACGGGTTTGGGCCCTCCAGTGTGGGTAGGGCCGCGCATGTGCACATGCGTGCGTTTAACTACGACATGTCATCTAAGGGCCATCGAAGTTGCGGTGCGGACCGAGACTCCGATGGCCGTCGACTGTGTTTTTAGCTAATCGGTGGCTGGGGGCGGTGAGAACCGCCCTGGAACGCGGGTGTACCTTGTGTACGCGTTGTGTTGGTCTCGCCGTGCTCGGAGGCGAGGGCGAACTAGTGTGTTTGTTGTTGCACTAACTGTGGGTGTAGTGTTGTCCGGCGGAACCCCCGGTGGTGGGTCCGGCGTATCTAGGTCCCCTTCCTCGACCGGGTCGGTGAGGACGTTTCGCGGGCGACGCTTGTTGACGTTCGCGTTCCTAAGTTCCAAAGGGCTTCCACAAGCGTTTTGTGTTGGCTAATTGCCCTAAGACGCTCGTGGCCAGATATGGCGGCCGCTATTTTAGTGGACAATACGGCGAGTTCCTGCCTATTGATTCTATCAAGTAAGCTGCAAATATTAGCGATTTGCGCGAATGGGTCGTCCTTGTTTTCCGCGAAAACTGACGGAGTTGGCTGCACCTGCGGCCGCGGCGCCGTTTGAGAGGCGGGCAGCTGTTGTGCAATCGGTCAGGAACCTGCCTACGAGCACAACACTACACTAACACTATCCGCTCGGAAGTCGGGCAAAGTTTCTTCGTTCTTCTATAATGTTTCTTCTTTCTTCTATAACTTTTCTTCACTCTTCTTGCTTGAGACTTCCCTAACCGTAGACCGCGAAACACGACAACGATGAGGCAAGCAGTGCACACCAAGAGATAAAAGAAATAATATAAGTAGCAACAACGGTTGCAAAATGGCTTCCGGGTCGGTTGGCATGGGCCCTCCGGCTCAGAGTAACGTCCGTTCCGTGTGGAAGCACGAAGCGGAATGATTAGTGTTCAACATTCAAACGATCTTTGTGCAAAGTCAAATAAAAATGGTAAAAAATCTTTGCCTTGTTGTCTCTCAGTGCAATTTTATTTTTGTTTTGTCTGCACAACAATTTGCATTGTGTCTGCGCCAAAATAAATTTCGCCATTGAAATTGGTCAAGAGAAAAAATACAATTCAAATCATTAAAAATAAATTATAAAGATATGAGATATATAAAGTAAATTTATCATATTTAACAGAGGAGAGTCAATGAGCTGTAGCAGAGACAGACGACTCTTAAATTAGTCCAGTAAACGCCGTACATGCTATCAGAGAAATAATGATATCGAATATCATATTACGTGTCTCATTGACGTGTAGAATAGAAGAGATGTGATAAATTACAAGTTTATATTAGAAGCTTGTAATTTATCACATCTCTTCTATATATATAGCGTGCAAAAATTAGTGGTTGTGATATGATATTACATCAGAGATTTAAAATGTATTGAAATAAAAAAAATTAAATGTTTCCTGATCATGTATTAAATATCATCATATTATTGAAACACATATTTTTAAAACATACTTAAGAGATTTTGAATAAAAAGTATCAATGTAATGGAAAAATAATTGCACCTTTATTTTTAGAAATAGGCAGCCAATTGACGCAAACTCATATATTTTAGTATGTAAGATACAACCTTTTGCATAGTTGTTGCATTAATGCTATTTGTCTTTACAAGCCGTTCATCCGATTAAATTGAGGTGCTATGATGATGATAGACGTTCTTGACATTTTAAAATCTTTGTGATTATTTTTATCTGACCGATTATTGTGTGTATTTCGTAACTTTCTAGGATTTCTGTTTGATATTGCAAAATTATTTTTTTGAGGTGCTCATTAGAAAAAGTATAGACCAATACCAATTGTGACCATTGTGTGACCAATTTAAGTAATTTAAATTGATCTTTAGGATTAATTTGATTCGCCAAAATTTTCCGATGCCCTTAGATTTTAAACTTTCTATATTTAGTGTCAAACTATTGACCAATTACTTAAAATCATTGACCATTCATGACCATTCATGATCAAATCGAACTACTTTTTTAGAGAACTTTGCCTATGAACCACCAACTGAATGTTACAACACTAAATGTTAGAACCACCGCCCATTGACATCTGTTATACTGATAGGGTTGAAGATTTCTATTATAAAGTGGGTCCTGGTTACCCCACTCGCTAGAAGATGCACCGAAAATATATCACTTCCAGTTCACGCCGGTCTTCTGTGAGGTCGTGCTACTTCCCCGGACGAGCTTGTCCTGCTACTGAGTGGTCCTACCACAGTTTTGTGTTTAACGAACCATTCAATTCAGGCTCTAAGGCCGTAAAGCCTACCGCTTTACAGAACCTTAATTTTAGTGAACTATAAGAAACTACTTTTTTGCCTTTTATTGTTAATTCATAATACCTTTTATTAAGTATTATTCATAATACTTTTTATTATTAATTTAAGTTTCGAGTAGCTTATATTAGTAACTCGTATTAACTAGTATTGCAAATGTGCTCTCAACTCCTAATCTAGTTATAATTATACCTAAGTTATCAGTGAGAGATCTCTCAGTTACTTTTGTAACTTAATATAGCTTAGCTATAAGCATTAACCATATTCAATTTATATCCTATATCTTGTATAAATAAATTCTAAAACTGTTTAGAAGTATATTTTTCATTTCTACTAAGTCAATCCCTTAGAATAAGCAATACCGAACTCCCACTCGAGGAGACAGGTAGGGAGGTTACAACCTAACAAAAACAAAATATATCGCATGCTTTGAATGCGTTACCCTATATGAAATCAATCATTAGGAAAACCATAGATTACATATAAAATCATCTTTTATTTTTTGTTAGTCATTAAGTTTTGTAAATTTTTAATACAGTTCGAAAAGTATTATTTGCATCAAAAATATTTAATTGTTGTACTTAGCTTGTGGGTAACTTTAATTAAAATTTTAATTTAGTTCATTACAAGATTGCCATACAAAATGCCTATAAAGTTTTGAAAGGAAGAAATAATTTTGTTAAGATTAAACAGAGCTTCTTTTTATTATATGTTTTTGTCTAATTTATCATATTAAGTAAAAAGTATTTTTTTTTAAAACATATATGTGTTCTTGACATTTGTTCCATGTCAGACTGAATGATCAAATAAAAAAAAGACAATCTATGATAATGTTAAATATTTTTTCTCCGCTAATTCAGGATTTAATGAAAGAGAGAGATTATATGAAAGTTTCCGTCTTGGCTGAAACTAAGGCCGAAGCCGATATTCGGTTCCAGTTTCGGTTTCAGTCTGACACTAAATTGTCACCGATTTGACTGTTAAATTTAGGTTCACATTAAATTAAATTCAAGTAAAAGTAATTTATAATTTTATAACGTTATTATTATTAATATTAAAGGCCCTCTCTGTTCGGAGGGTATAGGGCATGTCCACTGCGGATTGGCAATCTTCATGTATATTCTGAACATTTGCTACTACTATATACTATGTATACTAAACTAAAAGCGTAAAAGCTAATGTACCGGAGACATTGAGCTGGCACATTTAAGAAAATTGCTGATTCTAAATTAAGTTACGAATGCTAAATTAGAAGCTTACTTGTTTAAAAAACTATAAGGTCTTTGAATTGGCAAGCAAAAATAGAATAGCATAGCAGATGGAGCAGTCAAAATAAAATATCTGCACTAAAATTGTATACAATTAATATCGACATGAGGCAACATACTTTTATATCACCATATTTCTGTTTTACTTGGCATTTGTGTCAGAGAAAAATATGTAGGGTCATGGCTGCGAGCCAATAAAATACGGCGGTTAAAGTTATGTCTCAGGAAAACTCATTCAGCCAAAGTTTGCCCAAATCTGTTTATTGCGCAAGAGAAAAATAATAACGGCAAAGAAAGAGACGTTATATCGCATAAAATATTTTACGATGTTGGTATTATTAGATTTGTAAGATTACGATTACGTTAAGGTTCCAATGAAAACTCGTTACCAAGATCGATGTGCGACGTTCATGTCATTACTCAAACGAGCATTTCGATTTCTTCTTAGTTAAAAGTAATGTTAGAGGTTTAGGATAAGCCCTGTGCGAAATCCTAAATTCCTCCGTGGCCCTACCGCAGTGATGATATGCTATACTTGATGGCAGCATAGGTATTTTAGAATAGAGGTAACCCCCTGGAAATTGTAGCGGAAGAAACAAAACCTAAATTGAGGAATTTAGTCAGAGGTCATAATTATGACATTTAGATTGGCTCGGGATATTAGTTCGTTTCTCATTCATTTTCAAGTGGAGGGTCATGAAGCTATCTCTGATACACAATGAGCTTTTTAGAAGTATTTGATGCAATTTGTGCGAGTTTTTTTTTTTTTTTATACTTATATACAAACTTTTATTTCGCATTTTAAGGCTAGGCTTTTAAAATGTTCTGTCAGTTAAATGTTGAGTAGTAACGAATGATATTATAAATAAAAGCGTTAATACTTAACATAGATCATGAAATTGTTTTGTATTATATTTTCGTCTTGTTATATTGTTTATAAATTAAAAAAAATCCTGAATCGTCGGTTTTCATCACAAGTATGACTGTTGAGTTGCCTAATCTAAGATGGGTCCGACATATGGTTTATTGTTTTTGATTTTCATGGGTGTATAAACCACAGAAGTATAATTATTATTGTAAGATATAAAAATACATTCATAATCCTAAAAAGTCCTTTATAGCTAGAAACTTATTAAATTGTGATTTATAAAAAACGATATTTACATCAATCTTAAAAAACCATAAGGTCTTAATTAATAAACTATTATTTATATACATTTATAGTCCCGGAAAATATAATATAATAATAGCAATGAAGAGGCACAGGCACTTTATTCCCGACTGATAAAGCAAAAAGGAGGCAGAATCTAATTTTAGTAAAAATGTGAAAGTAGGTATTTAATGACATCTCTTAGTTGAAAATTCAAACGCAGAAAATGAAATGCGGCGTCTTTCATAGCCGACGAACTCGCACTCTTCACTCCACGTCGCTAAGAGCGGAACTATTTATTATTCATTTAACTTAACTTTGCAAATTTATGTACAAGTCTCGAATGAAGTTTGTGTTTAATTTGAAAAAACGCAGTTTGTGAACTGGGTGAGAAATAATGAGGTCGGGCTGCTCCGTACGGCGATGGGGCCGAGTGGAGAGCGTAAGTGAGTTGGCCGGCCTCGACCCGCCCCCCGGCGCCCCGCTCACCTGCAGCGTCGCATTGCCGTCATACTTTTCATTAATAATTTTAAACGATAGATTTATAACGCGTTACCTTGCTACCTACTTGTTTAGGTAGAACTTTCTTGGGACTTTCGATGTAAGAAATGTCAATTTTGTGTGCTTTAAGATAGTAAACGTAAGAGATTTACATTTCCATAGTTTAAAAATATGATTTTGAATGGGTTAAAAGTGAAGTAACAGCCTATATATATCCCACTGCTGGGCAAAGATCTCCTCTATACAGAGGGTATCTGGGCATAGTCCACTACGCAGCCCCACTGCGAATTGGCGGACTTCACATATCTTCGAAATATATTTTTTTTTTGTTATTATTTCGAAATTATGCAGGTTTCCTCACGATGTTTTCCTTCACCGTGGAGCACGTGATAAGTCAGCACTTAAAGTTAAAAACTTAATTGGTGCCGGCACCGGGGATCAAACTCAGGTTGCTCGAGTATATTGAATTAAAGGCGAGCGCCTGGACACTGGGCTATCACGGCTCATTGAATGGGTTTTTGCAATGTGAATCTCTTAATTTGTCTAGAGAAGGAATCGTATTGAGTATGAAATTGTCGAAGTAGCTTTAAATCCACATCTTGTTGGCAAATATTTAACCTTTGTCTTTTCTTTCTATCTCTTCTAAATCTTTTTATTTCATAACTTTCATGACTAGCACTAAGCCAAGAAATAAGTGGCGTCGAGTCCACAGACCGCGAATCGTCCAGTGCTTGCGACAAATTAGCCAGTAAGCTTAATTGGCAGCCTCCAACAACCCAATTAAAGTAAGTGCGGCCGTCATCGTAACTGCTCGAGGCACGCCATGCTGCACAACCCTTCATTCATTCGACTGCAGTCAAGCGAGATGTTCCTCTGGTGGTTTTTGACAATTTAACAAAGTAACTATCCAATTCACTTACAGTAATACAAAGCATAACTGTAATGCAACGAGTTTATTACTGGACCAAACTACGTTGAAGCATTTTGAAAAAGAAAAAAGCAGTAAGAAAAAATGATTTACTTAAAATTTTGTTGGCAAATGTTGTATACAAATCATATAAATAAATTCCTTGTTTGAATATATCCCTATGAATACGGGTTACAAGTTCTGTCACAAAATGAAAAGTTGTGAGTTTAAGATGCTTCCCACACAAATATTTATTGAATTCGAGCCTTTTGAATGTTTTACTATAGTAAAATTGCGCACTGTTTCGAATTTCATTTTATAATCAAATATGGATTGGAAAAACTTCAGAAACCTAATCAGATTTTTTGTATTACTGAAAAATTTAAAAATAACCAAGATATTCTTTTATTGTTTCATAAAACCGATATAATGCCAAAAATATGGCGGCGCGCGAAATTGACTTCATCCGACACAAAGATTGGATCGCTTCCTGGCCAGGCCAGAACTAAATTCGTTGGATTGTAAAATATAGCGTTATGGTTGTAACAGGTCATCCGGATTTGAGTCACTCCAGGCATCCTTGATCAAAGCAACCACCGATATTGATATTGACCGCATTCGTGCTGATATAGGACTGGCCTCGAAGGTTGAAGGTCTGTATTCAAAATCACGGTGTTCGCTTTGAATAAGCTAAGTTAGCATAAGCATCTGTGTGTTAGTAAGTTCCTTTTGGTAACTGTAAAACAAACATGTGTTGATTATTTCACACAAAAACTTGTGACGTAACTTAATTTTAACTATTGTTATAAAAAGCTCATAATATAAAAGATACTCTTTTAGGCAGTTATACAACAACTAGGTAATTGCACAAAAAAATTAGGTGACATGAATGAAGTTCATAACCTATGAAACCGAACACCGAACATTGCTCTTTCATAAAACTGTCAACGAAGAACGACTATGCATAACAATAGCAGTGTCATATGCGTAACAGAAAATGTACGCATTTTGGCACCGTTGGAAGCAATGTCAATCAATTTACTTATTCTATTTCGAAAATCAACATGCATGCGAGTTGCGCATGCTTGGAAAGTAGTGTCTACTAACTCACGTCAGTTACTTCAGATTTATGAACACTTTGACCGCACTTTGAGCTCAGCTGCACGATGGACAGGCTCAGCCGTGACCTACTTGTTGACCCTGCTTCAGCATTCATAACTGTAGCATTCATACTGTTTTCGTATCCTTTGTATGCTCGTTTCTTTGAATGCATGTATATTCCAAGGAGAGCAGAGTAGCCAATGGCAGTGTAGCAAAGGATAAGAATTTAATTTATCTATCATTGTAGACTTGTATTTAATAACATTAAGTGATACTAGGTTGAGAGTAAACTCAGTTATAAGTTTATATAATATTGCTAATCCTGCATTTCGGTGTATGGTAATGGTCCCTTGTATCATTCAAAGCGATACATGTTAAATCAACAGGGATATACCATCACAATTATTTCCTAAAAATTAAACGTTAAAATATACAATCACAAAAATCTAAGCAACACGATAAAATATATTTTGATATTTTATAATAATTTATTAAAATCATGTCTGTTAAATGTTACATCTATGCAAGCTGCGAGTTTAAAAATGAACTCAAGCTGGTTTTAAAAGGGTGGGAAAAAAATTCTTTTCGAATTTTGTATGTTTAAAGTTGTAGAAAAATTTCTTTGGTGGTACTTTTTGTAGCTGGCTTCTTTTACTACCATGGAATGCAAGGTAATTATCTAATTTTAAATAAGAAGGAAGAAAGGCGTTCCGTAAGGTGGCATACTTTCTCCCCTCTTATTTTCACTGTTCCTTAACCTTCTTACTAACCATCTTCAATGTTCTTACCACCTCTACGCTGATGATCTTCAGCTATACTCGCAAGCCATCTCTAGTGATGTTCATACCGCAATTTCTCGCGTAAATAGTGATATGAGTCGTATTTCAAGCTGGTCCAAGCGCTTCGGAATAGCGGTTAATCCAAGCAATTGCCAAGCCATTGTCATCGGTAGCCGTCGACTACTCTCACGACTTAACTTGTCCAATATACCACCTATCCAGTATGAGAATTGCGTTGTGCCTTTCTGTAGTAGAGTCAAAGATTTAGGTTTAAGTTTTGACCCATCCATCACCTCGTCACTATATATAACTGAGATCTGTCGCAGGGTAACAGGCATACTTCGTTCCATATATCGTCTTACAGCCTTTCTGCCTTCATCCACTAAGCTCCTTCTTGTTCAGTCCCTTATTTTTCCATTATTCGACTATGCTGATGTCTGTTTTACTAACATTTCTCAGGAGTTGCTAAACAAGTTGGAGAGATTACTCAATAACTGCATACGATTTGTCTTTCGGCTGCGCAAATATGACCACGTGTCACACTTCCGTACTCAACTAAAGTGGTTGACGATACGCCAGCGCAAAGACTTTCGTATCCTGTCTACTCTCTTTTCAATTCTCTATGACCTATCTAAAAGAAAGATTACAGTTCCTCAGGGACTCGCATTTCCTCAATCTTCGCTCTTCTCAGAATTCGTTACTGTCTGTACGCTCTCATCGCTCCGGTTTCGTGTGTAGTGCTTACTATATGAATGATACGAACATCTGGTATATACCAGATGTTCGTATCATTCGTTAGAATCTAGTAATCGTTAAAAGCAAAAATTAAATTACTTTGCATACCGCATTTAGAATCCTTTTACATTGGATTCAGTACTTTAAAGTGAAGATAATAAAAAAGCAAGTTTATTTAACTACTCAAAACTAAAAATATGCATTAACATTAATGAACAATATGTATGGTAAATAAAGGATTCGGGTTTCTTTACCTACGTCAAGCTGCAAGACGAACTCTGCCGTTACATTCGCTGCAGCATTCAACAAAATGGATTTGCTTGCAAGCGTAAATAATTCAAGCATTTTTCTAGGTCAGCGTTAACAAAAGCTCGGTTGCCGGTAAAACGGTTGGTAAAATTTGAATGAAATTGGTACTCGAGCGGCAAAAATAATGTTTTCATATAAATTTTGAATGTACTCGGAATTCGTATACAAGTAATTATTAAAATCTAAGTACGTTCAGCTTTAAAATAACGTTGTACAATGAATTCAGGCCATGCCAGGTAAACTTTTTTTGTTAGACGATACATTAATACCTCGAATTTAATATTACATATCTTATTAAGCTGTAGTTTGCTTTAGTCGTTATAGTAAACAAGCTGATTGGCTGACGGAGAGCATTTTGGTTCAATTAATTAAACTGCTGCACGACACGAGCCTCAAAAAGCTCCTATATTCGAAAATGGAACATATTAATTTAAAACAAGAAATTAACACAATTAACACAGGAACGAACACAAAGGTTCGCTTTTGATACGATATTTCACCAAGATTTTCGTAAAAGATAAATCAGCAAGTTAAAAACTTCAAGGTTCGTTAAATGCGCGAGATTTTAACTGGGCAGGGTGAATTTAGATTTGATGTCGAATTTCGTTTTGATAAGAATTCTAATACATGAGTCTAGCAAAATTCGTCAAGAAAAGTCGCCTCGCACATTCTCATTTTATAACACATTTATATACAAAAACATTGGCAATAGAAACTAAGGCTTGATTAAAATAAAAAACACAGAAACTCTTTTAAAGCAATATGTACATGAAAAATAACGATCAGGAATTACTAGCGATAGGTAATAGAGTCGCTTAGATATATTCAGTTGGAAAGTTTGGGCAAAGTTCTAGCTAACGTTGAGGAGAATTTATAGTCCTTGTAGCTGAGAGACGTGACTCTCGTAGATGCTTGGATTTCATGCATCGTTGAGCAGGAACGGAACTTCTCAAACTCACTCATTGCTGGGGTGAAGAGTAATGAATCGTAACCGAAATACATACTTACATTTACAACCACTTCTTACAACATTGTTAGAGAAATTACATAAAATTTTAAATGCTCTAAATTTAATGGTCTTTTAAATATAATGGTCGTATGCTGTAAAAGAAATACACTACATGGCGCCAGCATTGCTCGCTGTGGCGAAAAATTTTCATCCATTTTTCTACAAATTTAAAATTACTTAAGAATTTTTAGTATCTATACATAAGTTAAATTTAGCGTTATATGTATCATTTAACTATGACTTAAACTTCTTGCATAATATTCATCAGAATTAATCTCGTTCTCGCAGACAATCGTTCATATGTGACATTGGATAACGTAACATCGATATCTTATGTCTTAATTGTTTAAACTTCGTCAACTTATGCTGGCGTTTTTCATTGAAGCATCTTTAAGTACGTCAGAAAAATTGAAGCACAGATTTACGGTGAATATATGTAAATGAATGTCTATAAGCTCTTCACGAAAACTCTCATTACCACATCGCTAAACTGGAAACTGTTCAACTATTTAATCAGGGAATATTTTCGTTAAATAGCGCTTATGACTTATGTCATATAAGAAGTAATTGCGATGAAACTGAATATTGTACATTATTATATATTAGTAGTATTATTAAGTAGTTTTAACTGTGGTAGGGCCACGCAAAAGTATTCGCTGTTGCAAGAATGGGCATGACAGGTCCGTGCGGGTAAGAAAAACGACCTCACAGAAGACCGGCGGAAAGTAGAAGTGTTACACTGCGTCTGGTGAGTGAGGTAGCCGAAGCCCACATTATTAAATGGTGGCAACACATCTGCAACCGGTGTTGCAAATGTCCATGGGCGGCGGTTATCACTTAACATCATGTGAACCACCAGCTCGTTTGCCACTTTCTCACATAACAAAAAAATCATATTACCTCGTTAACTGGATTAACTTACGCAGTATTGGAACAGTAACATATCTTGGCATAATAAATTAAATACTCCAATTAGTTAACAATAAAACCATTTTGCATAGTAAAGGTATTTGCGGTTGCAATAATGGGAATTTATGCGACGGATTGGTGAGGATTTTGGAAGGGAACATACATAGCATTGTAATAGAATGTGGAACGTTATAAAGCAGATTCTAAAAACTTCGCTTCTTTCCCGGCAGAAATGAATCTTTCCGCTCTCTGCTAAATAATAGTTATTTTTTTTTATTAAAATTCATTGAAAACTAACTTCTAGCCTAAAAGTGAATGAATTGAGTACACGCCTTTAGTGGGGGATACTTTATACCAAAAAAAAATTGGGCAGATGGACATTTGCCATTTAACAAAAATTGTATAGTTATAACATCAATAATAGAAAACGACTATAATTTTATTAAAACAAAATGAAAGAATTCTCATTCATTTTGTAGGTTGGAGAGTAATAAGTGTATTATGTATTCTCGTCTACAGAGCGGGTGATAAGAATACAAAGGAATTTCGCCTAAGAGCCACGGACATTTTTTAATAAAAAAAATTCTAACGGCTTAGGGACTGTAGATAGCAAAATCCATTCAAACGAGAAATTTTTATACTAGTACAAAAAGACGTAGTTTATTATCTTTATGGGATTTGTATATTCTTCTCTTTGTTAATATTTTATCATTTTTCATTATAACAAACGTTCATGTATAACAAGCGTATTGTTCTTTTTTTTTATTATATTTAAAAAATATCAAATTATAAGTGTTCCGTACTGGAACAAGAGTAGCTTAATTCATATAATTTTATATTCATTCTAAACATACTTCATAAGATGACACAATTTGGAGTATCTAAATGCTATTTACTTATTATTATTTTTTCTTCACTGGGTTGGCGATCAGCCGTTATGTCTGAATTCAATCCTTAACGTGTGAGTTACGGCTACTACTAGCGCCACACAAACTAGCGGCAATTAAGTCAGTGAACAAATCGAATTGCTGGCACCGCCGCGTACGCACCTAAACCTTTTCCGTGCTATTACAGTATATTCTTTCACCCTGGAAGTACTGTGCTCAGTGACCTATGGACCCTTGTGCGATATATTCTGCGGGGATCTTATAACTGCGCGGTGGCGCTTTTTTTATGTGAAAAGTTGCCAAACGAGCAGGCGGTTCACCTGAACGTAAGTGAATACCGCTGCCCATGGACATCTGCTACACCTCAGGGTTACAGATGCGTTGACAACCTTTTCGGAAAGTGGGCTCCGGCTACCTCACTCACCAGACGAAACGCGAAAGTATTTGACATACTTCCACTTTACGCTGGTCTTCTGTGAGGTCGTAGTACTAACCTGGACCG